TGGGGAAAAGGGTGACAATGTCAAAGAGCCCATGCAGAAAAAGAATGGTTGGAAACTGATAGTGGTAGCAACTGTACAAGTCTACTTGACATGGTTGAAATATGGGAATGATATGTGATATGTATTAAATCCCCACTAATTTAAAAAAGGGGGGGAAGAAAAAAAAGTTACTCTTGGAAATGATGGGTAGCTATAAGATTAATCGGGAAAACCATATTACTTTTGGGAAAGCCACTTGACATGATTCTTAACCCTTCCTCCTACCTGCTCAATCAGGGCCTGGGACTTGGACATGGTGTTCTCCCTATTTGGTGCTATTACTTGCCAAAGGCTTAATCTGTAATTATTAGTTCTGCATATGTATCATGCTGCATTTGGCCAACCCCATTTCTTTATCCAGGCTTAGATGGGCAGGGCCGTTTGTCTGCAATATTAGAGGTATGTGTGCAACACACTGTGCAGAATTATCCACAGGGAGTGACTACAGAGAATTGAAGCCCTTTATTAATATTGATATTACTCTGCTCTTTTTTTATGTAAGCACTGCTCCATCTAATAACTAAGTCCTGTCTTTCTTGGTGACCTTGACATCGGCAAATTATGTAGTTGGGCTAATATCTTAGTGCTATTGCTTCAGGTAGCAGTTGAATTATAATCAATTAATATGGCCTTCTAGCCATAATTACCTATGTACTATATTGCAGTTACAGACTCTGTACACCTGTGGTGATAGACCAATGTTGGAAGGCCTTTTCTACTATACTGTATTAAGGAACAGGACATCTTCCGGTAAATAAATTATCTCACTCTCTTCAAATTGATGCCAACTCAGACTCTATAGGGCAGGGTAGAGCTATCCAAATGGGTTTCCAAACCTGTAACTCTTTACAGGAGATGAAAAAAAATTTTTTTTTCCCCAAGGAGTGGTGGAACTGCTGATCTTATAGCTAGCTGTACAGCATATAACCAGTAGGACACCTGAGTTCTTTTAATTGGGGTATACTCGTACCACTGGAGCTCTAACACATCACCGTACTTAGAAAGTCATAGCAGTTTCCTGACAGAGCTTTGTTCAAAGTGAGAAAACCTGCTGTAACTATTGGACACTTTTGGCTTCTGGCTCTGGACTCTGCATTGGCTCAGCTCAGCCTGACATTTGGATTTGTGACTGAACAGCACCCGCCTTAAGAGCCATTTCCGTGGTGTCATGAGCCTCGGTGGGACATTGCAGTGAATTAGAGAACCCAGCGAGGTGAGACAATGTACTCAAGGTAGGATTGGGGGTGGAGGAATGGAGCAGCATAACCTCTTGGAAGAGTTGAGCATTTGGGATATCTTATTCTTCAACACCTTGAGACTAGTCTGGTACTAATTGTTCTTAAAGAAATCATTATATCCTTGATATCTATCCTCCATGTAGTGGAGCTCTCTATTGTGGGTTGCTGGGTTGCCCACCTTTGAGGAATGGATTACGGTATTGTATTCATCACATCAGCTGTTTTTCATGTAGGGCTGTTTCCACCTAGGATAGAAGAAAACTATCCTCCTTTATTAGTTCATTTAACAGTAGCGGAATTAGAAAAAAAAAAAAAAAAAAAGGAAAAAAAGGAAAAAAACAATGCAAGGCAGAGAGAAACGGATTCCTCTTCTAGACCCAAGCTGTGGTTACTCCCTAATGCTTTTAGGGCATGTATAGAACATCTAGAATTGTTCAAAATCCGCCCTCCATTTACTCTCCTGGGCTATTTCAACTCAGTTCTACTAGTTTCCATTTAACCTCTAAATCCTGGGTTAGAGTTTTGCTTAAAACAGCTAAAAGGTGGTACAAAATGAGAAAGAGAATAATCAGTGTATAAACCTGTTGCGTACTCAATAAGCCTCAATGATTTTATATGTGTGCTGATACTTTAATCAAAGTGTGGCTTGTTATGATGATTTCATTGTGGGCTATATAAGGGTAAAAAGGACATTTTTAGCAAACACATTAGACTCCCAAATCTAGTTGAAAGTTGTCCTTATTTCTAAGTGTCACCTTGAGAAGTTACATATTTTTAATAAAGTTGCTGTCACTGCTCAAAATGTTTATTTTTAAAGTCATACATCCTTTTAATTGCTAAGTCAAAGAGGTATCAAAACGAAAGTGAAAAATTACATGGCAAGACTTGTAACTACTAGTGCGTCAAAGGAAGCAAAAGTGGTACCAGGGCCAGGGCATTATGAATTAATGAACGTGGGATGGAGAAGGATGGGGAGAACAGTGAACATGTGCTGAAGATAATACTAGGGGACAGGATCTGGTGAAAAATCTAAGACAAGCTCCTAGGTAAAGAAATAATGAGATCCTATTTCTAAACCTTACTATGTGTGTCTCTGCCCTTCTCTCCTTCTCAGCTCCTTCCTCATCATCCTCGACCAACTCCAGCTGATCTTCATTATCATCATCATCCAGAAGAGCCCCTCCTCAGCTGCCATCGGCACCCCGCTCAGCCTCCACCTCCACATCAGTCTCATCATTGCTCCTGCTCTGACGGATCATGCTTCATCTTCACTTCTCGTTGGCTCTGTTCCTTTTCAGTTTCTTTCCAGGCTTTCTAGTAGAAAATCCACTTTTGTTTAATCTGCGTCATCTTTCAATTTTCCATGCTTGGAAGCTGCCCGCTGTCCACTCATGGAATTGGAACCACTTTTGCCCTCTTTTGAGATGTTTCCTGATACACACTGGCATTTTGAGGGCACTATAGCCCAAGCAATAGGCCAAGATGGAAGAACTCTTGCTGGGTAGCTGTACATCCCGTCATAATCCCCTTGAAAGCCAGAGTCCAAATCAAAAGAAGTGCCATACGTCCTCACTACCGATGATTCCACACCTGCTTTTTCTCAGTTCATGTTTAGCTCTGTAGCCAGATTAACATCTAAAACCCGGCCAGCAATCATTCTGCCGTTCTCTTCCGCTACGACAGCATGGGCATTTCTCTCATTAACACGCTGAACAAAGGCAAAGCTTTATGAACATTGTAAGCTTCAATTTTGCCATACTTTGAGAGAAGATTACCTCTATCTAAATCAGACTTCTTGACCACAAGAGTGTTGAGATTTCCAGTAAGTACACGGGAGTTCAAGGAGCAAGGGTCTGTCTTGTTGATAACATTGCTGGATATGGTGTTTGAGAAGCTTGGCCACAGAGCTGAAAAAATGTAGCTCAAGGTCAAAAACATCTCACAGGAAGGGGAAG